GGATGAGGAGGAAGACCGGGCTTCGGCGCTCGCAGAAGGACGAAGACGTGGACGAGGAGGAGGAAGAGGAGGAGGAGAGGGTGGGGGAGGACGGGGCTGATGATGATGCTGATACTGATAGTAATGGTGATGCTGATATTGATGATGATGCTGATGATGACGACGATGCTGATGATACTTTTGATGCTGATGATGATGTTGGTGATGATGCTGATGATGATGTTGATCATGATGATGATGATGATGATGATGATGATGATGATGATGATGATGATGCTGATGATGATGATGATGATGATGGTGATGCTGACTATGATGATGCTGATGATGCTGATGGTTTTGATGATGCTGATGATGATGCTGATGCTGATGCTGATGCTGATGCTGATGCTGATGGTGATGGTGATGGTGATGGTGATGATGATGATGATGATGCTGATGATGATGCTGATGCTGATGCTGCTGATGATGATGACGCTGACGATGGTGATGATGATGATGATGATGATGGTGGTGGTGGTGATGATGATGATGGTGATGACGATGATGATGATGATGATGATGATGATGATGATGATGATGATGATGATGATGATGATGATGAGGAGGAGGAGGAGGAGGAGGAGGAGGAGGAGGAGGAGGAGGAGGTAGGAGGCAGGAGAAGCAGGAGGAGGAGGAGGACGACGAGGAGGGGGAAGAAGAGGATCATTGGAAACCCAAGAATCATCAACGATGTTGGAATTCACCCTCCCTCCAGGCTCCCTCTTCACAGGCCGCTACAGCGGTTCATTTCCATTGAGGGAACTGCCTCGTTGGAAGGCAATAGGGGGCCACTTGCGAACCCTGCCCCTACCCCCCACGATTTCTGAGGGGGAGGGTGGGGTTCACTGAATTCAGGAGCTCCCGAGCGAAGTGAACCCCACCCTCCCCCTCAGAAATCGTGGGGGGTAGGGGTAGGGTTCGCAAGTGGCCCCCTAGACAACCGTTTCAAGATTGAAGTATGCCAAAACATTGTTCTCGGGATTTCAACGCCACGAATCAACCGGACTGCTGCGTCTTGACGGTCCTGGATCGTGCCAGAACGCTATTTTTGGGACTTCCACACGGCGAATCAACATAATTGTTGCGGCCGCATAATCCTGAACCCTTCCCAAACACCATTTCTGGTACGTTGACCATGGGAATCCGTGAAATTCTTGCCACTGTTTAAAACGAATGTGCACGGCGCTAAGGCGAGAGCCACATTCTGAAAAGGAACCGCCCTGAATCCGTGAAGCCCTTGCAATGTTTAAAACGAATGTGCGCGGCGCTGGGGCGAGAGTCACATTTTGAAAACCACCCGCCCTCAATCCGTGAAAGAATGTTTGCGGCGTTTAGGCGAGAGCCACATGTTGAAAACCACCCGCCCTCAATCGGTGAAGCTCTTGCACATGTTTAAAACGAGTGTGCGCGGCGTTACGGCGAGAGCCACGTTTTGGAAACCACCCCCCCTCAATAAGTGAAACTCTTGCAAATGTTTAAACCGAATGTGCGCGGCGCTGAGGCGAAAGCCACAGTTCGAAAACCACCCGCCCTCAATCCGTGAAGCTCTTGCAAATGTTTAAAACGAGTGTGCGCGGCGCTGCGGCGAGAGCCACATTTTGAAAACGACCCGCCCCCCATCTGTGAAACTGTTGCCACTTTTTAAGGTTCAGAGTCATAAATGGTGAGGAAGTCTCAGGCGGAATGCCCTGCCCGTCCTAAAAACTGGGGTCGGGATATTACAGGGAGGAGTTATCTAGAAGGAGAAGGAATGGGGGAGGAGGAGGAGGAGGAGGAGGAGAAGGAGGAGGAAGAGGAGGAGGAGGAGGCGGAGGAGGAGGAGGTAGAGGGGGAGGAAGAGGAGGAGGTGGAGGAGGAGGAACAGGAGGAGGCGGAGGAGGAGGAGGAGGAGAGGATGCAGGTGGAGGAGGAGAAGGAGGAGGAGAGAGAAGGAGGATGATGAGGAGGAGCGGATGGACGAGGAGTAGGATGATGTTGCTGCCGATGATACTGATTCTGATGATGATGCTGATGATGCTGATGATGATGCTGATGCTGATGATGATGTGGTTGTCGATGATGCTGATGCTGATGATGATGCTGATGATGCTGCTGATGGTGCTGGTGGTGCTGCTGATGATGATGCTGATGATGATGGTGATGATGGAGGAGGAGGAGGCTGATGCTGATGCTGCTTCTGATGCTGATGCTGATGCTGATGCTGATGATGGTGATGATGATGATGATGATGATGAAGATGTTGATGATGATGATGATGATGATGATGATGATGATGATGATGATGATGATGATGATGATGATGATGATGATGATGATGATGATGATGATGATGATGATGATGATGATGATGCTGATGATGATGATGATGATGATGATGATGATGATGATGATGCTGATGTGCAGGAGGATGAGTATGAGGAGGAGGAGGAGGAGGAGGAGGAGGACGAGGATGAGGATGAGGAGCAGGCGGAGGAGGAGTAGGCGGAGGAGGAGGAGGTGGTGAGAGGAGGGAGGTGGAGGCAGGAGGAGGTGGAGGAGAGGCGAAGGGAGGAGGAGGAGGCGGAGGACGGTGAAGAGGAGGCGGGGGGGGGAGGAGGACAAGTGGAGGAGGAGAAGAGGGGGTGGAGGTGGGGGAGATGGTGGAGGATGCGGAGGCGGTGGCGGAGGAGGTGGGGCTGAGGAGGAGGGGGGAAGAGGAGGAGGAGGAGGAGGAGGAGGAGGAGGAGGAGGAGTGAGGGGGAGAAGGAGGAGGAGGGAGGAGCGAGGTTGGAGGAGGAGAAGGAGGAGGGAGGAGGCGAAGGAGGAGGAGGCGGAGGAGGAGGCGGGGGAGGAGGAGGAGGAGGCGAAGGAGGAGGAGGAGGAGGAAGGAGGAGGAGGAGGAGGAGGAGGAGGAGGAGGACTGGGCTTGGATTGAGTCGGGCACGTCCCACTACAGGAGGGAAATTCAATAATAGTCAAAAAGTAGTCAGGGGACGATGCGTCGTTCTCTTTTGACTCGTTTTGATTATTTGTTGACCATTTCTTTTTTTTCTTTTTTCCGACATCCGCCTGTAGGAGGACATGCCCGACCTAAGGCTAGGATGAGGGCAAATCCGTTCCAGAGCGCTCCAGAGCGCTCCCAGAGAGTTCCAGAGCGCTCCGAGAAGGCCGCGGCACCCGATCCATCCTCCAGAGCCGCGGGACCTCGATGTATCTTCACCCGACCTCATCCTCGCCCCGGCGTCGGCTCATCCCCAGCTGTGCCTCGCCCCGCCACGAGGGGCGCGCGGTCCCGAGCGGGGAGGGGGGCGTCCCGGGCCTCGGCCTCCCTGCCGGCCGACGAAGGCCGCGCGGGGCGGGGGGCACGCTCGGTCCCGCCATGGATGCTTTCGGTCGCCACTCCGTGGGGGGCCTCGGCGTACCCTGTTGGTGCAGTCGTTTGGCGTCCGCTGGCAGCGACTGGCGTCTGGTACTCGATGAGATAGCGCCGATCTGGCGTCGATTGGCGTCGATCTGCCGTCGACTGATCATCGGCTAGCGTCAATTGGCGTCGATCAGCGCCGATTCGCGAGAGCCAGCAAGATCGTATGGGAGGCTCCCGTGAGTTGCCACCGAAGATGCCAAGACTCTGAGGCGGTCGGGGTTTGAGTGAACCCCCCGGTTCATGCGATTTTGGCGCGCCGGCGACGCCGGCGACGCCAGCGAAGGCGTTCAACGCTGAATTCTGCGACGCGGAAGCACCGAGGGACACGGCAACGCCGCTGGACCCGACGGAATCCAACCGGGAAAGATCTGGGCCTGTAGGAGGACATGCCCGACCTACTGCTCGGTCGATTCGCGAATGGCCCCCCATCGTCCCTCGAGAGGGTGAGTGCTGCGGCTGCCTTTGTTGCGAGCCTGCGCGCCCGGCGGGCGACGCCCTGGGTCGTTCTCACTGGAGCGCATTTTGTCGCATGTTGTTTCTGTCCACCCCCGAGGCGAGTGCGACAAGCTGTGGGCAATAGGGTCGCACATACAGTGGAAGCGCGCATCAGGAAACTGAATGCTTTCCGTCAGGGTGTCCAAGGTTTCTTCGCTCCGCGCGCTGCGCGGTGATTTCCCGCGGCAGTTGAATAAGCTGATGCGTGCAGGATGCTCTGGGCTTCCCCTCAGGTGAACCTCGCGCGCGGGTTTTCACTGTTATGTTGGGTTTCTTGCGAGGGTTTCTTTCGGCCGCGCCCGCATTGTATGCAGCCCAACGTTTTCCCAAGGCTGTTCTCTTTGACCCTGCGTTGGGCCGGCAGGGTGTCACAAGGACGTGTGGAGCCAGACGTCGACACCACCGCATCGTGATGGCAGGTCTCAGGAGGGGAAAATCGCCACAGCTCACGAACAAGCCTGGCGAATCATGAAAATAGGGGAGATTATGGAAGCGAAGGGGCATACGAGAACCCAGAAAATGTGGAAACATATATAGAATCTTGGAATGTGTGTCGATTTGTTTGTGTTTTTGAGCACTTTTCGCGCTCTGCTGCGGTCAAAACTGAGGCAGACGTTGGCGCAGCCAGCTGGTGCTATCTCCTCCAGCGTGCACCAGCCTGTGTAGGGGGGGGGGGAGAACCATAGTTCCTGACCTCATCGGGCCCGCCGGCCTGCTGTCTCTGCTGCTCCTGCTGCCGCTGCGTGCTGCCTGCTGCCCGTTGTCGCTGATGCTTCTCCTCCTCCTCCTCCTCCTCGTCCTCCTCGGCCTCGGCCTCCTCCTCCTCCTCCTCTTCCTCCTGGTGGTCGTGGGGTGGCAAAACGGTATGCTCACACACACACACACACACTTTGGTTCCAGCTATATGGAGGTAGTTAGCGCTCGCCCATATGCCTATCAGTCTCAATCCGCTGGCCGTCTTGCCCACAGTATGCAAGGACGCTTGAGTGCAGCTGAGTTTCAAGTGTCCCGAATTGGAGGACAGATTGCTGTCAACCGATCGTCGTCCTCCTCCTCTTCTAGTGTTATTTTGGCTCGAGCCACTGTTGGCCGCGGCATGTAGCGGTCTCCCTTGCAGGTGGCATTTCATGTAGGGCACTTCCACTCAGCAGCAGCAAGCAGGATGAGGCGCCCTGTCGTTGCGATCTTGGTCTTCTTGAGGCCCATAGTGGCCATCACGGTGCCACGGTCCCTCTTCCAGTATCCTCACCCGTGGTTTTCCCAATCTTCCTCTTCCAGTACCGCTACGCAGCGGAAGGATCTTCACAGCGTGGTGCCGCAGGCAATCCACAAGTTTGAGGAATATGGCCGCGACGTCCTGCAGCCCCAGGGGTGGGACCCTGCCAAGCCGCAAGGCAAGCAGCAGGCTCCCCAGGCCAAGCCCGAGGTGAAGACGCAGGTGCAGCCACGTGTCAAGCCGCGGATCGAGCCGCCGGCGTACTGAGCCTGGCGCGATCCCCAGGAAGAGCACGAGGCGCATAATGAAACTCTCGGAGGTCCGCGCGGATTTCTCAGCTCGGCGGTGTATCCCCCCCTCCTCGGCGCGCGGAGCGCGCCCGGGGCGGCGATCCAAGAAATCCGCGCCGACCTCCGAACGTTTACGGCCAGGACCTTTGGCTTAGCGTGTCGCTCCGCCGATTCCGGCTGACTGCGCTTCGGCGCGAGACGCTATCCACTTCCTAGCCCCCGAGCCTCAGCTTCCCGAGCCTTGGCACAGCGTTTCGCCAGGGCCGCCGCCGCGACACGCTATGCGAAAGCTCCTGACTGTATGTTCATGCCGTTGTCCTTCTTTTGGGTGTACGATCATGGGCCCCGTGTTGATCGCAACCATCCAACTTTCGCGCCGAATGCTGCTGGAAACCGCCGAAGGCCCCTGGAAACCGCCGAAGACCGCCGAAGACGGTCCGGAGCGATGAGTAACACGGGTCGGCCACGCGCAGAGGGGGGCAGGGGGAGGGGGGAAGGCTTCTTAGAAGCACCCCTGCTTCTCAGACGGCGGTAGGGCCTTATCTATTGATGTAAGGCCGGTGCCTTCTGAGAAGCAGCCTCCTTCTAAGAAGCTTTCCCCTCTCCCCCTACCCACCTTGTGCGCGCCGCCAAAAGGGAGTCCATGATCGAACACGTCCTTATACGTCCTCGCCGCGTACGAGACTCGTACGTCCTCGCCTCGTACGAGACTCGTACGTCCTCGCCTCGTACGTCCTCCTCGTACGTCCTCGCGTCGCAAGTCCTCGGCTTCTTCGAACGACCTCGTGCGTCCTCGCCTCTGGCGATCGTTCCCGCCGTCTCGGCGGCGGTCGACAGGGACCGGAAGGGCGAGGGGAGCGGGCTTCCAGATAGGGCGGCGGCTTCTGGTAAGAAGGGGCCCGCCTGCTGAAAGGCATGCATTCTGAGATCGGCGGCACGCTCTGGGGGGAACCTCGACGTTTTCTGGTGTTTTCGTGGGCTCCACGGAGTTTTCCAGCGTCGGGGTGCTTTCGGTCAGCTGCGCCCCGCAGAGAGCGTTCCGGAGGTGCCCAGATTGTCCCGAACGGCCGCCGGAGGCTTGAGCTACGACCCGAAACAAACTTGCCGGCGCGCCCAGGGGGATAGGCAGAGGGGGCTGGCCTTCTCAGAAGGCTCTGAAGGCCCCTTGCCTTCTGAGAAGCTTTATGAGCCTTCCCCGCAGACGTTGACGGTTTCTCGGATGGCTGGCGAGCTTCTGAGAAGCCCCGCCGTCTTTGGGAAGGCCTTCCCCATCTCATTTCCCCCCTCGGCGCGCCGCGGATTGGTCCTCGGGTCATTTACCAGCCTGGAACATATCCCTAGCCCTATGCTGGGCACCTCCTCATCACGATGCCAGTCTTAGGGATTCCCTTATTTTTTGAGGGCGAATCCCTAAGATTGTCATCGCCTTTTGGCGTGTCAATCTTAGGGATAGGGATACGTTCGAGGCTGGTAAGTCATAACTCGGGTCTCTAGCGGCCCTTCGGGACGACCCGAGCACCCCCGGGCGCCTCTCGGCGAGGCGCAGCCGCTGGACCGCGCTCTGAGGCTGGAGAGCCGCCGAGAGCCGACGAAGGCGCCCGAAGACCCCAGACCTCGAGCGCAAGACTCCCCGGCTCCCCCCTCGGCGCGCCGCCGATCATCGAGAATACAAGAAACCTCCTCCTCCTGCTCAATCCTCCTCCTCCTCCTCCTCCTCCTCCTCCTCCTCGTCTCCTTCTCCTCCTCCTTCTCCTCCCCCTCCTCCTCCTCCTCCTCCTCGTTTTCTCCTCCTCCTCCTCCTCCGCCTCCTCCTCCTCGTGTCCTCCTCCTCCTCCTCCTCCTCCTCCTCCTCCTCCTCCTCCTAACCCTAATTTTATTGTGAAGGCGTGGCCTCACTGAGGTCCCCGTCTAGGCATTAGAGATACTAATTCTGGGCGGTTTGGTCTGATACAGCTGCAGAAGAGGCCCCCTATCCCTAGTGTTTTTGGCCCTCCTAACTAAGGTCCCCTCCCAAAAGGTTGTTGCGGATTGCGGGTATTCTTATTGCTTATAATCGAGCGCAAGCTTCTCAGACTCCCACCTCGGCGCGCCGCCGATGCAGCGCAGGGCTCCGGAGGGCACCCCCCCGGGCGTTTTTATGCGCTGGTTTGGGCCTCTGGGGTCCCGTGCGCCGCGCGCTGCGCCGAAGGCCCCCGCGAGGGTGCGAGTGAAGAGGCGCCAGAGGTCACCGTACATGTGGAGCGTTCCAGAAAGGGCCTTGCCTTCGAGGATGGAAGGAGTTGTCATCTCTTCTGCGGCGGAAGGCGGTGGAAGCCGGCGGAAGCTCGGCGGAAGCCGGCGGAAGCAAAAGTCGACCTCCCAAGAGATGAAAGCGTTTTTGGGTTCAGGGTTTTTGGAATCCGCCAGGTGTCGCCGCGCCGTTTGCTCCGACCCGCGGCCTCACGTCTCGGGGAGGGCGCCGCGGCCACCCGGGCAGACGCCGCCTCGGGCGCGCGGCGCCTGCCACGTGGGGCTTGCCGCGGTGCGGGCGTCGTCTGCTGGGGGTATGATGGGCGTGTTTTCCACCACCACCACCATAAGTTGGAGGGGGGAGGAGGAGGAGGACGAGGAGAAGGAGGACGAAGAAGAGGAGGAGGAGGACCCCCTCCCCCTCCAACTTATGGTGGTGGTGGTGGAAAACAAGCCAATCAGGGTATGCGGGGCGCAGGGTCTGCCGCGGGTTCGCCGTGGTGTCGGCGTCGTCCGCGTGGGCGCGTCGAGAGCAAGCGGGGCGGCGGCGCGTGGCGGGCTCCGGAGGCCCGGGGCCCCACAAGCGTTTCCATCTCTTGGGAGGTCGACTTCTGCTGCCGCCGGCCTCCGCCGGGCCTCCGCCGCCTTCCAAGCGGCGGAGCCGCCGCCGCTTTACTTCCGCCGCCTTCCGCCGCGGAAGAGACGACAGCTCCTTCGATCCTCCCAGGCAAGGCCCTGTTTGGTACGCCTCATGTGCCTTTCACAGCGAGAGCGCTCCTCCTTAGGATGCTCCTGCCTTCTCAGAAGCCCCCCTCCCCAGCCTTGTCAGAAGGCTGCCCCTCCGCGCCCCCCCCCCCCTCGCGCGCGCCGCCAGCAGTTTGTGGGTGAGGCATCGATGCGGCGAGGTCTACTTTGGAGTGTGACTTCGCATGGGGAGTGCGCACAGTCGGACCGAAGTATAAGACCGAGGTCGGTTCGGGGAGGGTGCCCTGATATTGATCGTGCTTGTAGCATGTTCTTGTGCATCCTGCGGAGGGTACCCTTGGATGTTCTGCTTCCTGCTTCGTGTTTTCCGACTGTACTTTGGAGAGTGGCTTCGCATGGGGAGTGCGTATGGAGTTCACCGTGCATGTGTTTTTTCATAGTGAGAGTGCCCGCTATGGTGTCGCAGTTTTTTTTTCAGCGGCGAGCGAGGGGGTGCGGTGAGAAGGAGGAGGTCTTCTCAGAAGGCGGCGGGGCTGCTCAGAAACCCTCGCGCCTTCTGAGGAGTTTTCTGTGTCTTCGGGGAAGGCTGAGAAAACTTCTCAGGAGGCTGGAGGACTTCCGAGCCTTCCGAAAGGCACGCCCCACCTCATCCTTCCTGGCGCGCACCCGATGTTTGGTGCGTGTGCGTACCAGATTACCACAACGATCATCGTGCATTTGCTCTTACATACCATCGTGCGCTGGCCGCACGGCCGTTTAGTTTCCTGGGCGAGGCGGGTGCGAGGTTCATGTTGCAGTGGCCCTCGTATTGGGAGTTCAGCGTAAGAGTGACGTTGGCTATCTCGCACGCGATGACCGCCTCGCCCCGTTGTTTGCATCGTGAATGGCGACGGCGACGGCGGCATGCCAACGTCAAGAGAGACATCGCTCGTTGACGTTGAGCTCGTTTTCCTCCTACGCAGGGGGTGCAAACGGGCCTCCCGGTATCGTGGGAAGTCAACTCACCTCCTCACCGCTCTTGGCTGGGTCGTTGTCCTGGGCCCAGGAACTGTGCCCACGCGTCCCTGGCCAAGCCAGAAGGTCCTATAACCTCCTCCTCCTCCTCCTCCTCCTCCTCCTCCTCCTCCTCCTCCTCCTCCCCCTCTCCTCCTCGTCCGCTCCTCCTCCCCCGCAAGCCATTTGCGGCACGAGGGGGCTTCTTGGGTCCCCCCCTCCTCCTCGTCCGCTCCTCCTCCCCCTCAAGCCATTTGCGGCACGAAGGGTTTTTTGGGGAACAGGTTCCCCGCCCGCACGGCACTCGCGCGTACCGACTGTGGGCGGACACCAGCGTGCCCGCTACGCACTCCCGCAGAATAAGGGGCGTCTCTCAGGCGGCGAAAGTCGGGTGCTGACAGTTTTGTGGTTTTGATGGGTCGCAGCGGCAGTGCGAGGGCCACTAGCAGAGATGCCCACAGGAACCCATCGACACATGGCACGCGTCGGCAGTGTGCCGCTCTTGCCCTGGCTCTTGGGTGTATTACAATCGTGCAGGAAGGCCAGGGTGGGAGTCATGCCGTATTTGCGGGGGTGCCGTGGCCCAAGCAAGTTGCCAAGGAGGCGGTCTCTTTCGCCATCCAGGACGGTGACTCCATCAGCATGGGTTCCCTCCTCGAGCAGCTTCTCCCGAAGTACAGACAGAGCTGGTCTGTCCAAAGCTGGCCGAGGCAGGGACGCCTCCGCCGCCCAAAGCCCCCGAGATCTTCCTGGAGCAGCACGCCGCCTCGCTACGACGCCTCCACACGTACCAGGAAAAACTCAAGAACCAGCGGTTGGCCAACGCCAAGCATGGCAAGGAGCTTTTGGCGAAGCTGGAAGAGAACGCCCGCGCATGTGCCGAGGCCCAGGCTGAGGTCAACCGCCTAACGTGCCTCACCACGGCGGTGCAGGGGGCCGCGAGCGGGAACGCCACGCACGACGACGACAAACCCGCAAGGGAACCCGCCTTACAGCTTACCGATCTTACTGCCGAGGGCGTGGAACTCCTCACCCCAGAGCAGAAAAAGGCATGCGAGGGGGCGCTGGCGCACGCGCGCCAGGCCCAGCAGGTCTACAAGAGCGCGGCGGACATCGGCCAGAAGGCGCAGAACGCGGCCAGCACGCTCAGGGAGCTCCACGAGAAGGCTACCCCCGCGAAGAGGCGCAATGCCGACAGCGGTGCAGGAGTCGCTGCTGGAGCAGCATACCCACAGTCAGCAGGCACAGCAGACGGTGGAGGAGAGGCAGAGCCAGCTGGCGGCGCCATCGATTTCAGCGACCCGAACGAAGAACGTCGACGCGCACATCCAGCGCACGGCGGCCATCAAGGCCAGAGCGGCGGCAGCGGACCCTGTCAAAGCCACGCCAACGCCTGCTTCGGCATCAGCGTCAACACCCTCGGCGGGGGCACCTCCTAAGTCGACGGCGGCGGCGGCAGCGCAGTCGAAGACGGCAAGGGGGTAGCCCAGTATGCGGACATCCGCGAGCTCGAGTACCATTTGGCCAGCGCGCTCTCGTTTCCATATTCTTCGGTAGCGTGAACAGCTATGGCCCCAAGGCCAAGAAGCACATGGGGTATCGCCCTACGACCTCATGGGTTTGGCAGGGCATCACTTGCCGCACGTGGAATGCCAGAGGGAGGACAGACGATTACGCAGTTTTGTTTGAAGGTCTGAAGGAACGTGGACAGCTGCTACGGCGACAGGACGCTCGGACAAGGGCACGTACGGAGGCGCGTGCTGGTTAAGACGGGCCACCTATGCCACCAGCATCCACTTGGAGGGCTCTAAGAACCAGAGCGTCTACCACGACGCGCTCCGCTGCATTTCGGTGGTCCTGTGGCGCGCCCACGGCGCCGCCTTTTCTTTCATCGCGCGCTACTCGGACTGCTCCATAGGTCTGGTCGGCGCCGACACTACGAAGCTGAGCGTTGGGTGCGCCTTGGCTTCTGGTGGGCGACTTCAACGCCGCCCCGCTGGAGATGGCGAAGACGGGTTGGTTGAAGGCCCTCGGCGGCGACGTCGTCGCGCCCGAGTGCGTCGAGGTCTCGTGCGCGTCGGGCAAGGACCGCGTGATTGACTTCGTGATTGTGCCCGGCAGCATCCGCCCTTTCTTGGGGCGGGTTACCTCGGTCCAGAATCTGCCATGGGGGCCGCGCATTGGCCTGGATATCAGATTGTCAACTCGCCGGGCTTCAGCGTTCTTACGCGTCCCACGGCTCCCAGTGGCACTGGAGGTGCCCCAAGGTGAGGTTCGGGTCGCTAAAGGTGTCGAGCGATGTCAGCGGGGCCGACAGCGGCGTCAGAAGTTGCAGGAGGCGCGAGGGGAGCTGGACATCCCCCAGCAGGGCGACATTCTCGATGATGGGGACGAGCACGTGTTTGACGACCACAACACGCAGCTTCGGCAGCGCCGATGCTACGACAGCGATAGGCTCACCCACGTGGCGGAGGCGCATCGCATCGTCGACGACGCTGGCGTAGCAGGCCAGGGCGCGATCACTGAGAGTCTAGCGTGCCAGCAGGACCCACGCATGAGCGATATGATGGCGCAGCAGTTCGCCGTTTGGGCTGTGGCAGCGGAAGAGCATCTGGCGGCACTTCGCGAGGTCGAGCCTCGCCCTGTAGCTCGCCGAGGGCTCTACCTGTGCAATATCCTTGGCAGAAGGTTACGCGCCAGGATGCCGCCTCCAATTTCGACCGCTCCGCGGCCGACGCCCCGTGCAGTCATTGGGCCAGCCTGCGCGCTCGAGTTCAGGAGCAGATGATCGCGCCAGGGCGATTCCGACACACTCGCTTCCAAAGACAGGTTCAGACTACAATGTCTTCCTTACTTTCGTTGCGGAGGTCTCGGGGCGCGATGGCGATCTCAACGGAATGTGGCGGGTCACTCGCGACGATGAGAAGGTGATCGTGACGGGCGCCCGCTTTCAATGCGGCACCGAGTACCACCTCTGGCAAAACTTTGCGATGAGAGTCCAAGCCCGAGCCCGGCGTCGCGCTGGCTTGGCTCGGCAGCAGACCCGCAGCGAGATCAGCCAATGTGCGATCGAGGACACTAATGGCTCCGTGAAGGGCGCCCGCCGATACCTGAAGGAGCTGGAACAGCAGGCGCTGGGCGATACCTGCAGGGGCGTTGCAGGGCTGGAGGTGCGTGACCCTTGCAGGGGGGCACTGAGACTAGAGCGGCCCGCTGGGCGCAGAGGTGGACCTCGGAGCCCCGCCGATTGCCAGCGGTCCGCGCCGCCCTCGGCGAACTCCGTCGCCGCGCCCACGTGGAGCTATCGCAGCGGCCCTGCCGCGACCGCGACCGCCCGGCCAGTGCCTTGAGACCGTTCCCGGAGAGCACTGACAAGGGTTCCGACCAGTTGAAGCCGATCCACATTCTGGCGCTGTCCGATCACGGGCAGGAGGCCTTCTTCACCGTCTTGGATATGGTCGATAGAAGTTTCGCATGGCCACGCCAACCCCCGCACAACTGGTTCGCCCTCTAGCCGAAGGGTGCGGCGCAGGAGATCGGGGATGAGCGCGACGTCGGCCTGCTGCCCGTGCCAATTTGCATCTGGGGCCGCGTGGCCAAGTCCACGCTTGCGGAGAGGTGCGACAAGAAGCCGCCCATTGGGGCGCGGCGGTCAGAGGCAGCAGCGCGCTCCAGGCGGCCTTATTCACCGTGGCATTGGACGGGTCCAGGGCGCATGTGGGCATCGACGAGCAGAGCATTTTCCTGATGGATGTCGAGAAGTTTTGCGACTACATGGACTTGGAGCTGATGGTCCGCGAGGCCGTGGATCTCGACTTCCCCTTCGGGCGAGCTCTACCTGTGCTTCCTCGCCGACCTGGCGCCCGGGGTAGTCGGGGCCCACGGGGTCTTCGCCGAGGCCATCGCCCCGAACTGTTCCATTGCCAGGGCGAGGGGGAACATATCATCATGCACGCGCGTTCCTTCGCCGTCTACTTGAGCGGGCCCATGGGAAGGCGCCCGTGGAAAGCATTCGTCAGTATGTCGATGATGTTCACGCGAGAGTCGAGGGGCCAGGGCAGGTGGTGCTGGGCCAGACCATGCAAGTTGCAGTTGCTCTGACGAAAGGAATGTTGGATATTGGGCTGCGAGCTTCGCGGAAGCCCCTGCTTATGATGGCCGGCGCCGAGCGCGAAGACCTCGTCCAGGGGCGCGCGCTCGGCGCCGCGGGCATTCAGATCAAGAAGACGAAGTGGGCTAAGGATCTTGGCGTGGACTGCTCTATGGGTATGATGCGAACGAGCAAGACCACGCAGAACCGCATGACAGTTGCACGGGCGAGAGCGACACGCACAGCCCAATTCCGACGCATTGGCCGAGGAGGCAAGCGGACCAAGGGCATCATGTTGTACAACACCAGCATTCGAGCTAAGCTCTGTTATGCCGACCCAGTCTTGTGCATCTCCCCCTCTGAGGTCGCGCGCAGACGAGTGCAAGCTGCTGATCTGGCTGGCCACGTTGCCCGTGGGAGATGCACTGCGTCCATTCTGCTCCATCGCTACCAGGATGACGACCCTAGAGTGAGCACGGCCGTGGGTCGGGTGAAGCAATGTTTCCAGTTTTAGTGCGCACGCCCCGAGCTACACGATCGAGTGCGCAAAGGCTGGCTAGCTGAACTCAAACTGTATGATCTACATGAGGGCGATATTGGGATACCGATAGGCGACTGGGCCAATAGGAGCAATGACATTTACCCTGCGCGAGCTTGGTTGGACACCACGGGCCCCAGATCTAGATGTGGATGACAATGGCGACGAATTGCGACACCAGGGCGACACAATGGATAGCTACACGGAAGTATTCCAAGAATAGAGGGCCTCGGTTCGCAAAGATTTGCGGCGGCAAGCTGGAGAACACCCCGCGGGGGCAGGCCTGGGCTAGGGCGGCGGCTTGCACGCGTTGAGGGCCGACCTCCGACGGCAGCGGCGACGGGGGCGGCTGCCAGAAGCTGGAGCACTGGAGGCGAACGCCCTGGCCTGCATATGGACGAAGGCTCGCGCCAAGTCAGCTGGTTAATCATCAGACCGATGACGAGTGCCCTAGATGTAAAAC